GCTCTGCTGGGTTTACCTCACTTCAGCCCTGCTAATTTCAGCTTGACCATTCCTCCAGTCCTGAATCGACATCCATTTATTCGAACACCAGAAACCCGCGTTTAATCGACTTATTCTTATATGCATATCGAATCAAATGCCTAACCGAGATGTTGGACTCAACGATCCAGCCAAGTGCAACATTGGTGTCGTTGAATTTGACCAGCCGGTCATCGTCTATATCCACTTTGTCTGGGATTATTTTAGCCTGTTTGCAGATCGTCTGATGAGTGCCATGGGAGCCATTGCTGTCATGTTTTTGGGGTAGATCGATACCTTTTCGGCGGAACCTGCTGCTCACTCTAGGCAAGATCGATTGATCAGTTTTCAAACAAACGGAGATTGCTCACGAAGTTGCGTGTGTGCGGAATTCGAATTAAGCAATCTTTGTGTCAAACGCCAAGGATCTCTTCTGGACCAATAAAATATGATGTTTATTCGAGCTAAATAGACTGTGTTTTAGCAGTGGACTGGTTAACAAACATACTTTCATCAAAGTCTTTGTTTTCCGACTTACCGGTTGGATTGTGAGCCTTGCGAAGAGTCTGATTACAATAACCGGTATCGCACGCGTTGGGCAGACCTTAACACATCCACGAGGTCAGCACCAGTGATCCAGCGTTATTGGAAAGGAAGCAAGTTGTCAATCACCCAAATATGCGATCGGGATGATGTGTTTTGCTATGCTTTAGCGAGTCTCAGGGATAGCTTAGCTAGGAAAATAGAACCAAATGTTGATTACTTGATACACACGTGGATTGACAGACGTGTTGTCAGTTCTATCAGCTGTGTAATGTTGCATAGCTCTCTGATTGTTTGTTACGTTGTATTCAGTAAAAAAATAGCTGAAATGGCGGAGGCACGTGTAGTGACCTCTACGTAGTAACCAGCTTTGCTAGTATTATGTGCACGAGATGAGCAATTGGAAACTAAGGCCAAGAAACACTCACCTTATCAACATTACTTGTCTCTTCAACCAACAAGTCCAATAGTTGACGGCAGTCACGTTTCGTGGCGCATTGTCTGTTTTCTGCTTCGTTAAGTGCATTGCATTTCTCTAACCATCAATACCTCTCAATTCAGCTAATTCATCATGGTCACTCTCAATCAGCTGGCTAAAGCTAGTCTGGAAAGTACCAGAGGCTGGCGTTTCGACCTCCTGGGTCTCGTCACTTATGCACCTCCCAGCGGACCCCTGATGATTTCCGCACCCTTGCCTTCTAGATACCAGCAGCCAGTGCCACTATGATATATCATGGCTCATCTTCCACTGCCATGCCAGTTACGAACTGTGCAGAGGACAGTGGCTGACCTCACGAACTAGGACTTTCCGCGCAGTTCGTAACTTGCATGGCAGTGGAAGATGAGCCTGCCTATGTCAAAGTCAACTGTCAGTCACGCATATTCGCGGCTGTCACCCATGACGAAGTGGCACTAGCTGCTGGCATCCAGAAGTCATGGGGCCGGAACCCAGCAGGGGTCCGCTGGGAGGCACACCATTGACGAGACCCAGAAGGTCGAAACGCCGGCGTCTGGTGCTTTCCAGACTAGCCTTAGCCAGCTGATTAAGATTGACCATGATGAATTAACTGCATTTTACTGAAATCCTCACTACTCATCAGTAATACCGATCAAGCTTCGAACGTGCCATTTCTTAATGCAAATAGATACACCTACGTTTTGGGCGAAACGAATTCCTCCTTCGGAACGGAGCATTTTCAACTCAAGTCAAGTTAGGTCTTGTACACCCGTGTAGGAGTCTTTTCAGCAATTTACACTAACACTGCGGACATAATACAGCATAAAATCGGTGGGAACATGATGTGAACTGTTACGAAAAACAAAAACAGTACAGTCTAAAGCGAGCAAACCTTCTCACCATTGTTGCGTCATCACTCTTGAGTCGATTAATAAGGGAAACAGATAAGGCAAAATGGAGTTGCGATTCGAAGAGGTACGGGAAAACCAAACACTAACTTTCGGTCGCGTTCAAGAACTGAATTCCGAACTAGCTAAAACGTCGTGTAGATGGTTTTTTAGAATTCTGGATTGGAAGTTAAAGCATGCAGCAAAATGCTTACTGATCACAAAATTAACGAGGCTTTCTCTGGCTAATCCAACGCATCGGGAAATAAATCTCAGTGATTTTACAAGCAGAGTATAATCCTTATGAAGTAGTCTGGGGAACATAACAGGAGAACAGTACAGCCAATGGGGGAGAATCTGTGCATTTACATACAGGATGTGAGTATACTATGCTGTCGAATAAGTGAGGATTAGACGAAATTCTCAGGATTCCTGCAGGCTACTCGGTGTTATAGCATACTGCGCATTACGTGCGTTGTCTCAACTCCCCTCTTCCAGATTTCTTTCTTGAAAAACTATATGTGCACTTACACCACACCTAGACAGAGAGATCATTGTTGACGATGTATGGGGAAAATACCAACTACTGAAAATATAGATCTACAGAGGAAAGCTTTAAAAGAATGAAATTTCAATTTATATACCGAAACCATAGGTGTTGTTTTCGCTGACCATATGGATAATCTGAACCGTCTAGCGTCCCAGTTCAGACGATTGCGACCTTTGATAAAAGCTTTATTGACCTTCTGGACAACCAGTATGTGTAACCAGAGGTGGAGTCAAATTATCTACTTCATGAGAGAATGACCTGGCTGAAACTTCCTGGATTCCAGCAACTATTAGATACCTAAGAATGCGCTTGTTTGCTTCTCAAAGAGTGAGCTCACTGTTGGCTTCCAAGGTAGTTCGTTCTCATTAGTAGACTTCAAGGTGAATCGCTTCCGTTGACTAACCAGTTGGCTTCTGGCATCGTAGGGCCAAACTTCTCTAGGCTGCTAGTGTAATAACTGGTTCTGGAGGTTACTATGGGCGGGCTCCTTTAACAATAGTATGAGTACATTTCTTTATCTGACGTATGTATGGCTTTAGCGGACTATCTACAAAAGTATGTTTACAGTAGCGTGCTAAAGAATTATGGTTACCCTACTGTTCTAACAGTTTCGTTAATGGTGCCACACAAATTCTATACCATGCGTCGTTTTTACATGGACAAGGAGCAAAGACATTATATTCTACGACCATTTTATGTGCTGCAGAGTAATGTGATTTACCGAAGGGAGCCGAAATACAATGAATGCCACTTCCGATTACACTGCCTTAGTGAGTTTGAAATTGTGTAACGAACGACCACCGTGGTCGGTGGTGCCGACACGGCAAAGTAAATATGTTGTAGTAGGCTATTAGCAATGATAAAGAGTAAAAGGCGTCTGATCAAACCTTTGAAGGACTGGTTTTTGCCCTTAAATTGTAATCAGTATGCCGCGTCCCCATCGCCTTGTGGCCAAGTTGGCTTAATACTTGCATCTTCTGGTTTTGTTTACTTGGAGTTAAATGCGCTTTCTTGTTTCCAAAATATTAAGGCGGGGGATGAGGCTGATGTGAGAATTTCATCAAAGACCCCCTACTTCTTACTATTAAGATTGTTTTATTTTGTTCGGGGATGCGCGAGCATGTGGCATGCACTTCGTTGCTCAAAGCACAGTGTGGTCCCGATTTATTATTTCCAATTCTACTAAACTCCCCACTACTTATTAGCAATCTAAAATCCATCCTCCCATATGGTTTCTAAATGCTGTGTCATACACAATCGCTGTGCAGAAATTTCTTGCTCGTGGGGCTAACTAATGTTCTCTGCGCAGTTCGTAACTGGCATGACAGTGGAAGATGAGCCGGGCTATATCATACTTAACTGTCAATCATGCAGGTCCGCAATCCTCACCCATGGCTGAGCGTCACAAACTGCTGGCACTTGGAAGTCATGGGGTCGGGACCCGCCAGGGTCCGTTGAGACGCGCACCACTGCTGAGACTCAGAACGTCGAAATAACGTTGTCTGGTGCTTTTCCAGATGTGCCGAAACTTGCTTACAGAGTCGATCATAATGAACTGTATTTAATCACTTATATTTTGTTGGCAACCTTCCAACCATTTCCCAGTCGAATTTGAACCAATAATAGCTTGATGCAACATTGTCATGGCCACAGATTAGTGGATTTACAGTATTTTCTCATTACCAAACGAGAATAACTGTAATTTTCTGTTGGGGTCTTCCGATACTCATCATTGTATCCTGATGGTCTGGGCGAATAGTTCCACATTAGGGAAAATCTATCGTGATCTACTCGCGCGCGATTGTTACGTGCTCTTTTAGAGCAACACATTGTCCCACCTACTACGATGCCTGTATTGTTAATTACCCCCTCGTTTTGAACTCTGAAGTACATCCGGCGTTCGTGTCATCGTAGGACATTCGCGTTGCATACATGGATTCTTCATTTCTTTTCCACATCTGGAGTGACGTGAATAGTTTGCGTCAACAGCCATTTTGGTAGATTGCTGCTCACTATTTCTTTGAGGATTTTGATTGTGACACGCATTCTTTATCCCGTCCTTGATTTGAAGTTGATTTCAGTTATTCCGATTGCCAACAATAGCTTTATCCTTATTTGGGCCAATCAAGTGGAAGTAGTCTAAGCTGAGATTGTAATCCCAGTGGTTGGCAGCTGTTGCAATCATCACCAGGCCACTGAAGTCCGCTAGTAATGCGTGCAAAAGGGGAAATGACTTCCACTATGATCCGATTTAAATAAAGTTGGGCTTTTGCCTAGCCGATTCACTGCTAAGGGACTGAGTACACCGCTTTGTATTAGAATCGTGAAATTTCCTCTCTTTTCTATTTATCACGATGTGCTAGAAACTGTGGTGAACGCGACCTTTAAGATTCTTGTAGGGAGCGTCGACGTTTGCAAACAGTATGTGAAGGGTCTTAGAGTATATACGACAGCACTTGCATTAGGTACTATTTCGCCTTTTCATACACCCAATCACATAGAGGCTCATTCTTTTTATGATCATTTTTGCTTTTTTTCATTTTAGATTCGTCGTTACTTCTGGGTTCGCGACGAGATCTAGGTGAGCCGTTTTTCATCTCCTTCCATCATCGAATGCGTCACCGTCACAATTGCCATCGAGATCGGTACAAGCACAGATATGAGACAGCGCATTCAATTCCCGGGAGTTCGACCACCTCTGATACTCACAGGAGGCATTTACTCTCTTCCGTGACTCAAAGTTTGCTTGAGGAGGCTGGAGAACATGAGGAGGAGGATTACGAGGAAGAGAGAACTGAGGAAAAACATGACTTTCCTATTGAACACACTAGCAACGCGTCAGTATCAGCTTATGAACCGCTGCCACCAGATAATACCCGCTCGTCAAGGTCACAGGACTGCTTGGTCTCATTCACCGAGCGGGAAGAGACCTCCGTTGTCCTTCCGAATCCCACTGATTCTTCACCTCCTCTGACCTTTCGTGATCAAGATCCGTCGCTGTCCGCATCCCCAGTTTCTGAGGCTCCTGAGTCTAGACATGCTCAGATCGAGCATCCAGCTTGCATCCCGCTCCAACGGAGTGTGTCGCACTATCGTACTTTATCCACCGAATCTTCTACATCCAGTGATTCGTCTGCATCGTGTGGCGAACAGCTTATGACCACAAGTATAGATTTGGCCGATTTAGACCGGACCACAGCCCAGGATCTGTTAGGTTCGTCACCTCCAACTGATAGCGAAACGGAACTTAAAGCCTTGAGCCCAGCTGTTAACGAGGAGCTTGAGGGAATCTCAGAACTTTCCCAATGCTCCGGCACCCGCGCTCCCTTGGCTGCTCAAGAACGGATGGATGAATTTGAATCATCATTGGGCTCCACTGCTGTATGCCATCAGACTCATTGCGAAAATGATCCGACCAATGCTCGCATCAACCACATGGGTTCCGCAGCCGAAACTAGCCCAAACATTTACACAAAAACTTCTTCCGAAACTCCATCTTCTACTCAGGTCACAACGGATACCAACTCCACTCATACCAGGAGGTCCAGGCGGGATTGGGAGATAGGGTTTCACCAGGTCCTTTTCCCATTCTTGCGCGAGCTCGAGTCCGACACCATACTCCGAAGCACCTGGGATTGGCTGATGATGCGTGCCTTCACGCGTGGCAAGCCGATCCAGTTGCATGACTTATTTGTGGCTTGGCAACGGTTGTACGACACTATACCCCCTGATAGCTTTAACACTGCTGACTCGGAATCCTTGTGTCTAGATTCCTCACTGTTCACTGATTGTCCTAGCATCGATGTGTTTCTGAGAAGATTACGCGAGAACATCGGCATTTCCTCTTCCACTACTTCCCGCGCCACAACTGAGGGTAGCCACCCTCCACGACGGCGACATCATCATCGGCATAGACATCGGTTGTCTGCTTACCCCCGGCACTCCCCTGTCCCCACGAACGAGAGCAACTCAACCGCTCGGGATGACACCCCATTACCCCCTCCTCTATCTGATTCAGAACCAAATCAGGGACCTACGGGTTTGGAACAATGTCCCTCGGGTGCTCTCAGTTAGTACGGTATCTCATGGAGCTCCCTCGTTTTTCTCATTATCTTTGACGACGACGGTACTTCTCGTACATGATGTTACTCTGTATGCTCCTTATGCCCCCTTTTTACACCTGCTTTCATTATGCCCTGTCGTTTACTCGCTTTTTCCTTCTTGATATTCTTCCTTACTTCGTTCTAATTCCCACAAGATTGTTTGCAGCTCAGTACTATTTTTTTGTCCTTTGTGATGCGGTCGACTTGTAGAATTCTTCCATTGTGGGTGTCCCCCACGTGCAGCGAAGAAGATATAGCAGTGCGCCGATACGCTGCACCGAAGGTTTTCTGCCACGCGACCGCCACCATTTGTGCGTGGATTCGGGATGCTACAATGTAGATTCAAACCGGCGACCTTTGGGTTACAAGACAGGTGCATCCTTCCTTTGGTCACCGATCTCCTTCCGTGGTTGGTACATATATTCTTCCACTTGCTTAGGCACGGCACGGCATGATCCCACGCCTTAATCTTCACAGTTCCACTATGATTGTCTCATGGACCGAGATCGTACAAGTTGTTTTGTTTGATCAAGTGTTAGTCAAGCACATGCGGAAATCGCTCGCAGCAGAGCACGACTCGTTCTCCGCTGCCATATAAGTGACATTAGAAGTCCACAACTTAAATCTACATGGCAACATTCACAACACTGCATAAATGCTGTCTTCCTGCTACTGTTACCGAAGCCCGTGACTCCATGAGCCAAACTATGTTTCTGCATTGTTCGTAACTTGCATGGCAGTGAATTACGGGTCGCGTTATATCACAGTTTGCTTGTAACATGGTGGTTTGCCTTCGCCCCAATGGTCTGGTGGTGCAGACTGCCGGTTGGAAGCGCAAGCCGCTAGGGCTCGTGGGTACGAATCCGGCAGGATCCAAGGAGATTGTGTCATAGACAATTGAACGAAATGGCCGTCCGGTGTTTTTCAGGTTACTGGTACATTATCCGGTTTGTACGGTACCACAATGAACTCTCGCCTTGAGAATTTCGGATCAAGGGAATCGCCTGGTCTTCGTTGGATACTTCACCAACCCGCATGTCATCCTGCTTTGTGGGCTCTGTTGCTCATTATTTGTAAAACCTTGACAAACCTTAGACTTTCCCTTTGAAAAGCGGTTCATGCCCCTACCTCTTATCCACACATTACTAATCTCACTATGTAAGATTAGGTTGGAGTACGGGATTGCGAACTTGAAATCCCTAACCTATATCCGTTACAAGTACGGTCACAACAGCCGATTTAACCGGACTTCACTTTAACCCCAGTCCAAGTTGAGATTCCATGTCGACCTCCCTCGCTCGTCGGTAGGAGTTGACAAAACAACTCAGTTTGCTTATAACGCACTCAAGTAGTCACCACGATTGGTGATGAAACGTTTGCAACGAAACTGTTCAGCTCGGAGAACAGAACAAAATCTGAATGTCGCGACTTATTCGCGCTCTGATTGCTTTAAATAGGCCCACATTAGAACGCTGTTGCTTCAACAGAACGATCGCACCCACCGTAACCTCGTCCTGGCCATCGCAGTTATCCCGTATTTTGCTATACTTTCTGCAAATTCTCACTTTGCTAACTCTACACTACGGCGGCTGAGACTTGATCCTGGGTTGATAACGTTTTACTCCACCAACTACGTGCAGAGGCTACCTCGGACATTTCGAACGCACTCACTCAAATCACCTTACTACTATTGTTGAACAATATAACGACATTGTTCAATCTTCCCATATTGAGCCGTCTATGATGACTATTCATGTTTGGATATAAGCAGACCGATTCGCGTTTGGTCGCGCCACTTAGCCATCCATGTCTTCATTGCTGGTTGTCTACAGGGTTAAACTGACAAAAACTAGCACGTCTGAATTGTCTGGAATAGTTCGCTCCCGTTGCTTGCTCTCAACCAACAAGTAAATTCGACATGACCACTCTTCAGAAAGTCTGTACCCATGTTGAAGGTCCAGCTAGGGCCACCTAGGTACCATAAGCACAGCCCACACTCTCTCCACCTTGTCCTCGCACTAAGCCGACACCGGTGCAAGAAATTGGGTACCAATAGGCAACCGATGAGCAAGCATTCAGCTCAGGTGCCTAAACCACGGAAACTAGTGCAGTTTAGAAGTTTTCAGTAAGTCTAACTACTCATGAGTAGAGGAATATTATGAGATTTATTAATATCATCGCAATTCCGCGTTACATCGCAGTTCGCATTCAATCCTTAATCGTCAGATATCTTTCCCCATATATATATATATATATGTATATATATACCGCTGTAGGAGCAGGAGTCTTGTGGCTCGCCACAGGTGCCTTGCGCCGCACCACCCACAGCTCCAACCACACACCCATATCCGTTGTAAACCCGAAGGAATAAGACCCAGAGGCATGTGGATGGGAGCCACGTTACATCAATGGAGCTGGCCCACACTCCTTCACAAGCAAACACAAGCACGCTGTATTTGGGGAATCAAGCGCACACAAGGTGGTGGCTGGATCATGGTCCGCTCCACTCTGCTGAGTGCATGGAACCACTCTTTGAGTCTAACACGGCCACAATGACCTTGCACCCCATCTCCTCCAGCAACCACCAACTGTCTCCTGGAGCCAGTTTAGACGAGATGGTGGGTACTAGACAGGTAGGCATCTTGTCAACATGCACATCAAGCGCAGCCACACCGGGGATATCAAGCAACAGCCAGTCACTTGAGACGACAATATCAAATAAAATAAATCGGATAATGCATACAGATTTACCGACATAACTCTATACTAAACGAGCATATGAAATAAATTGGTTGCCCAAAATCCGCCGTAGTTTCAAGACGTCAGAAAATATATTTTAAGATGTCACAATCGCGAAAATGTTATCAAAGTTAACTACAATTAACTTGAGTGACGTGTGCAAGTTAATGGAGGATAGTTCACCTAGGCAATAATGAGACAATAAGGCAAACCCACCACCTGAAATAAATAGACTTAGCATGCGAACACGCGGTTAGTACATCGAATGCACCGTACCTACAAAGGCTGCGCCAGTTTTGCCTACGTTCTCTGCAGAACCCGTCATACCTCGGTGGTGGCCCCGAGTGGCGTGGCTCACTAGGCCTGCCTGACTGAGGCACTCGCGACCGCATGTGCTACAGCACCACGCGCTCGATGTCGATGAAGTACAACCCATCGGCTCATGCCGCTTCCGCTACTTCTCCACATGCATGAGGGCTTTCTTTTGCACCTCGACAACTGCCTTCGTGATCAGATCTCGTCATGTACAGGGATCAACTGCCTTTCATTCTAAACGTATGAAATTAACATTAGAACGTGAGACGCTCACTTTGATCATGTCCTGGAACGCAGCTTCTTTTTCCCCACATGCTGCTTTTCAACGCTCAGTTGACCCCTCGAAAACTACGGGTTTGTTCTGTGACAACTCCTACGACGCAACAAATGTGAACCTCACGCATAACGAAGTAACATCGTATCGTCAGATAGGTTATCGTTCTGTGACTTAGGTTCAGATAGTGCGCTAATTAAAATTGTTTGGACGCTTACGATCAGACGTGAGATCTTGGCTGTTAGGTCGGTAGATCAAAATGAAACTGATTACGGTATTGGGAGGGAAAACCTCAGACCTCGAGTTGCACATTAATGTATTTTGAAGCCCGAATCCCAGACCTGTTAAAAGGCAGCAGCTCTCTAGCAACAATGCTACACAGTCCAACGTAATGCAAACGCTATTAGTGATAAACAGCAAGGAAAACAGGCCGGTTGAACGGTCTCACGTAGTGCTTCAAAGCATGCATAGTTACGTACAGATTGCACGTTCACCTCCGTCAGTAGCTGGGCAACAACAATTGACTCCTACTGATAGTGAAACTAAGGGCGTTGCGCGTAATGAATCTTGCTGTAGCATCTACCTGTCGTCCACGGAAGACACTCCCACTCCACGAACCTACGCTGACAAGGAACTGCAGAAAAAACTTAATACTCAGCCAAAAGGCGGCGACAGTGACATGTTTAATCGTCCCAGTACCCACTAGCGAATCGCTAAAAGGTGGATAAGCTATAATGTATGGCGCTTAGCCGATAAACGGAACAGAACGCGCACACGTAGTATGGAACCGATTTACTAAAAACATCCTGCATCACAGTGGCTTTAAAAGCCCGAAAATGACATCCATGAAACAAGGAAAGTAAAGCAAGTTCATTCTCAACCAATCATGTGAGGGCCTATGTTTACGAATCGATACACGTGCATACGTGACACCCCTCTCTTCCTTGATCACGACTGCAGACTCTGGGTTGGTACTGATCAATTGGCTTAGGCATGTGTTTTGAGCGTCTTACTTGTGGTTGTACTGCATCCGTTTGTGGTTCCTGGTATTGTGAAGCAGATTCTCCGTCCGTTTTTGGGTCAGTAGCGGTCGCTTTTTGATCCTGCTCCTGTGGTTCATTTGAGCGTGGCCAAATATGGTCAGAATGGCGACGCACCACATGGCCGTCCTCTAGCTGTAGTTTCGCTTGGTTACTCGTTGAGAATATGCGTGTCAGTTTGCCAGCTTGTTTCGTTAGGCAGTCCTGTGTATACCGCATCAAAATCAACAAGGCACATTTCCTCTGGCATCTTTTCATCCACACACATTTTCTCCTGCTTTTCCTTCATTCTCCTCTGAGGGTTCGGAAAAAGTGAGTGCAGTTTCGTTCGTAGTGGCCGACCAAACATAAATTCCGCGCATGACTTCCCTGTCGACTCGGTGTCGTACGGTAAGAGAACAGGAGACGATCCAACTTAGTTTGTATTTGTGCTTGAGGAGACGTTGCTTAACAGTCTGAACTGCACGTTCCGCCATTCCATTTGACGCGAGCTGGTACGACACAGAAGTACTGTGTTGTATTTTGTTGTTACTCAGGAGCTGTTGAAACTCTTCACCGGTAAATGGGGTTGCGTTGTCGGTGTATACCGTCTCTGGGATCCCGAAGACGGTTGCTGCGGAAATCGCATGTGGAACTGGATGTACTATCCATTTAGAATGGGCACCAATCAGAAGTAGACAAATCAACCCATTGATTTTACCAAAGTATTCCGCTTGTACCGGCTGCTAGGGCCTCTCCGGCCAACAATGTATCAGTCCGGGCGATTTTTCCCTTTGGTATTTCTGATGTTGTTCGAAGTTTTTCAGCAGCCGCTCTATATCCTGGTCAATGTTCGACCACCAACAATAGCTACGTGCCAGCGCCTTCATTCTGTTCATTCCGGAGTGTGCGTCAT